CACGATGTACAGTGAGAGGCTGGTCTCCCGGCACCATAATGAAGCTGAGTAACTCCCCTCTGCTGTCTCAATGTGGCCTGTCCTAAACTCCAATATCATTAAGAACAATCAACACAGTACTCAATGGAAGAGATAAATTAATGGCACATGCCATGAGCAGAAGACCAAGGAGTAACTCATGATGATGGCTGTGTAACATCTTTCATAACAAGGTGGGTGTTTTACTAGATTAAACGCCATCTGGAAACTACTACATTATTGAAAAGATACGTTTAGCAAAACGAAAAGACATGTCAAAAATAACACCTGGTATCCCATATCACTTCTTTATCCAACTTGCAAATCATGTTGACTTTTGAAACACCCCCATAATTCCATTTTCAAATCAATACATGTTATGGTGTTTGATTTTTATAAAACTGTAGATTTCACCTTGTATACAGCAGTGCTACTTTATTTTGCATATCCATACAGAACAGTAGTTGTTTTTTTTCTGTTTCAGTGCTGGCAAGAACTGAGACAGATTTAAGTGCTTCTGTGCACAGTACTAGCCAAGCCGTAGCATGAAGTAGTTCAGGTTGGGTAGCTGCGTCAGCATGCGTAGGCTGCACAGGAATAAATACTGTAGATTTATTCCATGCTGAAAAGAGGTTAATGATAATGATAACCAGAGGTTGCAGGGTACACCCTAAACAGGATGCCAGTCCATCTCAGGGAACACATGTACACAAACACCAACACAAACTGACACCAGGGCTAATTTTCCCAGAAGCCAATAAACCTACCTGTATTGTTTTGGACTGTGGGAGGAAACTGGAGCACCTGGAGGAAACCCACGCACACACAGTAAGACACCGGGTCCAGAATTGAACCCAGAGCCCCAGAGTTGCAAGGCAGCAATACTAACTAATTGCGCCTCTGTGCAGCCCTATAAACAGACAGCCCATATTATGTCATTTCCATTGCATATTTTACTACACCTTGGCCATTAGTCTAGGGCAGGAATCACCTGAGAAGTGTGCTGAGAAACATTCTTTCTCACAGGCTGTCAGAAAAGCCACTTACACCAAGTACTTCTCTCACATTAATCAGCAGTTTGAAACACTACTATACATTAAGTACATATCTTGCTTCAATTAGGGTGGTGGGTTTCCTAGCAGTTGTTGGACATTTAATATCACGAGGTAGTTAGCTGAGGTTCAATTTCACCATCAGGTTTACCACATACATCCTGCTCCACCTATTTCATGTACATCCCTTCCTCAAGCGCAGGAAGACGGGAATATGTATCAGGAAATCTAAGTGAATTTTCTTCTGTCAACCAAGAGACATGTGACATATCTTTTCCAAGTAAAACTATCAAAATGATCCACTCTTTTTAAGCAAGGAACAAGCAGACTTCATAATGTGAAATTCCAACGACAGCACTGAATATCAACATGAATTAAACTTAATAACATTAATAACAGTTTTAACATTGATATGCATTTCCAAAAGGATCAGGTCACCAGTGATAAAGCTGGCATTACCTGGATGATGTCACAATTAGTTGCTTTTTTTTAAAAAAAAAGAGGAAAAACAGTAACTGTGGCACATTGGAGACTGAGAGTCAATTTTTGGATGGACTATCCTTGGACTATTATATTTTGTGGAAACAGAAAATACTGTAACCAACCCTCCTGTAAACACCATCCAGTTGAGGCAGGTCCTCTGTCCACTATACCTTGGACTACATCTCAGACTTTTGGCGACCATTGTTGCTGCTCCCCAACACTTTGAGTGACAAATACTTTGACTTGTTTTCAAATCTAAATTTAAAACTCACCTTTTCACCAGGACCAATGTCTGATTACTTTATTCCTGTACTTTATCCTGCGTGTTCTTAAATGTTTTACTTTTTATTGTAGTTTTCTTTATCACTGAGAAACAAGAGTTAACATTTTTTTTAATTAAATATATTAGAAGAATGTATCTTTTATTTTAAAAACCATCTTTTAAAGATATTACTGCAAATTAAATGCTAACTTGCAAAAACAGTGTGAAAGGATCTTAATACGTAAGCTGTTATAGTGGCCTTGAACCACGGGGTGCGATCTGGGCATATTTTCTAAGAAATCTGTGGCTTCAGTGTGGTTTTAAAGGGTTTTCCATCACACTTTCATCACAATCCTGGGAGGAGTACATTTCGTAGGAACTGCACGTATCAGTGTGGGTTATAGGCCACATACTGTATATAAGTATTCCCTGGGGCCTAAGAGTGTCTTCACGGCCACAGCACACTTCCCCAAAAAACACCCACACCCTCGTCAGTCTGCTGTGATGACTCACTCCTCTAACTTTGCCAGCGGGATTCTGTCTGAAAAACGTCTGCGGTTTGTTAAGAGGACTAGCCGAGGAAGGAAACCACATGTGTCCGTGTGTCACTTCCGAGCGCAGACTGCGTGAAGCGGGAGAAAGTTACGGCCTGTAAAAGCGGGAAATTATGCACACAACACGCCGAACTAAACGGCACTGAGCAGGAAAAAGCCCATTTCCTGAAGAAACTGAGCTGTGTCCTCTACGGCCACCCTTTTGTTATACCACCCCCATGTCGAACAAGCAGTCTGACCTTCTTCCACTCTTAGCTTAGGGTTACCACCCTCCCTTACACAGAGGAGGAAGTGAAGCCTTCTACAGTACATGCCCTCGGAGCCAGGTGGCACATCCCTCACTGATGGCATTGTACGCCAGCAAACATCTGGAGGGGCTACTGTGAGCCCAGACTTCAAACCACCCTCCTGCTTGAAAACGCTCCGTCAGAGCTGGCTAGCAACCTGATCCAGGGTCGCACCCTGGATTTTAGAGCTCCGGCTGGGCTTTTGCCAGCTCCTTCACCTGTGAAGGCACCAAGGAGGCCTTTCTAAAGCCTTTTTATTATTATAGTGAAAGTACAGCCTAAATGGAGCATTGACAGGCTACAGAAATGATTATTCTTCTGTTGTGCACGCGTAAATCGACAGGAATTGGCTCAAACAAAGTGAGCGAGGCCGCGTTTCACCCCAGCGCATGAACCTAAACATAAAAGTATAACATAAAGGCAACTGTCGCACTGTGGTGAAACGCAGCAGCGCTCATTAATATTCTTTGGAAATGTACAGAAACCTAAATAGATGTGTGGCAACTGAATGGAGACTTTGTTTTATTCCTGAAGTGCAACATATATTATGCCACGGTCTTGTTAAAAGTTCAAAAACAAAACTCCAGAACATAGTTTGGGAATGTCTTTCCATCATTTTAACAGTAATTTTTAAGGCTGGGATAATGCCCATTTCTTTTTAAAGTTTCCTGTTTAACATATTAGTCAATGCACCGATTAAAGACAAAGTTTGAACGTAATACAGTAATACATCAGCCTGTGGATTACAGTGCAACACTGCTAGCATGGTTATTGACTAAAGTACACAGGTTTATGCAAACAGTATTTGAGGAACAAATTCTATTTAAAATTGTGTGCACAATCCTTGAGTCATGCTGAAAGGTACCAAGGAAGTTCTTAGCTCACACAAAACACTCCTGGTTTTAACCTTATGTAGAGAAAAAAACATGATGATGCTGTTTTAATTACTGAGAGAGCTCAAATGATTTAATTTATTAATAGACTGATGCATTTCCTTTACTATAGCTGCAGTTTTTAAAAGTAGATTAATGACTCTTTTGCAATATACCTTCTTAATTTTCATGCTTAATTTTCTTAAAGCTATAAATTAACATTGTTAACATTGCAAATTTAACACTGTTTTTTCAGCCTTTCCAAATCCTTAATATTTTATTTCATATTAATAAAAATATTTTCTTGCTTAGAATTGATTTGTATAGTTCAATGCATAATGTATATACTTTTATTGACATTCTTAATATTCTATATATCTTAAACACTTTCAGCAGTTCTGGGAATGACAAATAAAGTTTCATCATCATTATTTTCTGTACCGGTGCTTTGATATTTGACTAGATGATCTTAATCGTCTATAGTTCAGAGACCACCATCTATAAAATCCAGTAACTGAGCTCACACCCTACACCGCAATCAAACTAATTCATGTACATGAACCTTACTGAGGTGCTTAGCTGAGACTGATCCACTTTCTGGGACTTCCTAGTGCAGACTCAAAGCCAGGATCAGTCCTATGTGCAACTGTCTAACTGTCTAAGAAGAGACATGAGAAAGCATTATCCTCACTCATGTTGCAACAGAAAAAATTGGTGTTGATTCAACCCTGCTTGTTAATTTATGTTAGTGTTGAATAGCATGTTATTTACTTATCCACTTATCCAACACGATCCAACAATTCAATACAGAAAATACCAAAATATAAATGAAAAAGAAGTTTAATACTAAATAATAATGCCAAAAAAAACATTTCAACATACAATAATTATTAAATAGAGACCTTAGCGAAAAATATTTAATATATACCTCAAAAAATACCCTGAATGAGCTTGTAAAAAACTAGAGAGAACTATAAACTCTGATCTTTTTCTGGTGTCAAACTGTGCAAAACATTACCCTAAATAACATTAGCTGTATAAAAGAAAAAAAAAAGAGAACGGATTTACTTCGCAGTTCCTTCTTTCAGCTAAAGAATTCTTTCAGCTAAGCCACAACATTAACAGTACTTTCCAGAATTTACACAAATAAGTTCTGTTGTGAAACCGGAACCGCATTAAACAAGGAGTTTTTCCTAACTCCAAAACAAAAAGCACCTCGCAGCCGAATTGTTTTTCTGGTCTACTTGTTTGCCCTTAAATGGACACTCTACCTCTTGGTCAAGCGGTTTCTCAATCTCAGGGTTCTCCTAGAAGAAGATCTGAGACTCCTTAAAGGTTCTTCCAGTGTGACAGATGCCCTGGCTGAAGTTCTCAAACTTTGCGCGCGCATTTTTGTGACTTTTGGAGATGACTTTGTTGCGAGGGGAGCTCTGAGAGACTTTTTCGGCCCATCACTAGTTTTCCTTGCTTTGCTACTGGGCCGAGGTGCGCTCTTTGACTTTGCTCTTGAGAGAAAACGCTTGGATGGTTTCTGCTCTCCCAGTCTAGAGGTCTGACCCTTTGAGGCGTTATCATCAGAGGAGTCGGTCCTCCTGTAAACTTTCTCACACACTGGTCTACGAGGCATCTTCCTGGTTTTATACGAAAACGGTGGTCCTTTTACCGGACCAAGAGATTTCTCTCCTGAGCTCTTGGTCTCCAGTTCGGATAGTTTATGTGCTTGGCCCCTAGTGGCTCTAGTCCTGACAATATTAACCGTTTCAGTTGTCTGACTTTGGAGTGAAGGCAAAATCCCAACACCTTCCTTCTGAGCTTTGGAAGGAGTCAAGGGGCCCAAAATCAGCCTGCTGCTGCTCGACAAAGAGGACCTGCTTTTTGACGTGAACGCTGGCCTCCTGCTCGAGGCCGAAGACCCCTGCTCAGAAGGGCCGTCACCTCTCACGTTGGAGCTCAACCCATCTTCGTTGCGACTGTCCAGGCAAGAGCCAGAGGTGGAGGCGCAGAAATCCGAAATGCTGTTGGGATTCCCCTTGGTGGAGCTCCACGTTTCCTTCTGCTCCCCACACTGTTTCTCCTTGTTGATGTCAGGGCTGAGGCTTCGAAACAGCTGCCGCACGTGCGGAAACTTTTTTGGCCTGCATACTCCTATTCCCTTTGGCGGCATCTTCAGAATCCTGTTGGTCAATGGGTCATAGTATTTTAAAGGAGTCTTCTTATACTTGTATTTCAGGGCACTTTCACTTTCTGTGGATTTTCGCTTTCGCCCCGTCCTTCTGATAGTGAGCGGTTTTAACGTACACTGTCCTGACTCTGGGGAGGAGAGGACATAGACCACTGTTTTCGGCTGCACGGGACTCATGATTTTGCTGTAGGTTTCGGGCAATTTAAGCGCACATAACCTGGTTTTCATTTCTGGCGTCTTTTCCCACCCCGATCCATTCGGTACTTCTTTCGCATCACGCAGCTCATTGTCTTTTGTCGGCGCTTTGGTCTTGATCACGGGGCAGCTCAATGTGGGCGTCTGAGTGCTGTGGCTGACCTTCACCACCTGGCACCTGGATGCCAGCCGCCACATTCTTCTGCCCGCCTTCTTCTTCAGAGCTCTGGTGCACACAGGAACGAAAACAGTGGAATGGTTGCAATCCTCTTCTTCGTCATCCAAAAGGGGAAATGACTCTGCCGTTCCGGTCACAAGATTGCTCTTGGGGAGCGTCTCCCTTGTGGCCTCGTCCTTGTTCCTTCGGGTTTTACTCTTCCTTCCAAACTTGGCCAAGGATTCGCTGTCGAAGTAGCATCGGAAGTGTCCTTCCCTAAATTCTCTCACGAGCGCTTCGATCTTGAGGTCATCTTCATGCATAACTTGGGACCACGTTTTTCCAACAAAAGACTGAGGAATGTGAGGCAGTGGGGGTAGGACATCTTTATCGTCGTTGTGTTCTTTAAGCTCTACTGTGTCTTCACCCTTCAGATTTTCATGACTCCTCTCTGTCTCCGAGCGAAGGTTTAGAGCACAGTTTAGCTGCGTGTTGTACTTTGGGTCTTCGAGATCAATGCATACTTTCATGAGACACCCAAGATCCTTTGCTTCGGACGAAAGTGGCTCGGGGGCTTCTTTCATTGGTGTATCCCACTCGAAACTGGTTCCAGAATCTGAGAAATAACGGTTAGTGATTGAACCAAGACTTAAATGAAAACTGTCTTCGTCCACATCAGACTTCCCCGCACTCACTCCATAACAGTACTTCTCAATGACCTCCTCAATCGTTTCCTCCATTGCACCGTCCTCTTCGTCAGAGTGTGTAGGGTCCCGGCGAGTGGCAAAGTACGGCAGCTCTTTTGTATCGGTCTTCACTGTTGCTACTGTCAGCGCAGTTTGGTGGCCTCCCATCTCGTCTTCGAATTTTGACTGAGAATGGATGGTCTCTCCCTGAGAACAGCTACCAAAGGGCTTCGCCATGTCCTGCAAAACAGCAAAAGGCTGTCCATCTGAGCCAGAAGGAACACAGTTAGGATGGACTGAAGGAGGGGTATAGCTACTTCTGTTTTGCAGTTGGTCTGTCCTGACATCAGCTTTAAAGCTGCAGCATGCTTTAACGGGGATCTTTTCCAAAGCCTTCCCATGCTGCACAGCCTGGGAGCTGCAAGGCTCAGTGTGAGGTAAGCCAGGAACAGAACTGTCACTAGTCCTGTGCAGAAAGCCCTGAGTCGGAGAGCTGCCTTCAAGAAACGGAGACTTAAGCTTGGACCTTTTGAATTTGTTGCAGAGCCCCGCGCTGCTCCTGGCTGGAGCTTTACCTCGGGCTTTGTCATGGAAACCCTTTCCCGCCTCAGTTTCCTTTCCCTCGGCAAAGTCACCATCCTCAACTAGCAGAAAATGGGACGACCCGTCATCCGAACTGGGCAGCTCCTCGCGGGTTCCGACGGTATCCTGGTCATTCTCTGGGCCACCACAAACCTCAGAAAGCTCTTCTTTAGGAATCAGAGGTGTGCTCAAAGATGGCAGGTCAGCATGTGTTGGTCTGTTAATGAGGAAAAAAACAGTGAACATTTTCAGTTTAGGTGACGTCCTTAAAAAGGGAACTGCAGCGCATTTTCTTAGGGTTAGAAAGAATCGACATTGATGAGGGCATTTCAAACTACAATGAAAGCAAAATGTACACAGTATTTTGTAACTCCAATTTACATCACAAAATAGACAAAATTTCCAGGTATGCGCAGCGCCATGTTCTGCGATTCAGAAAGAGGCAACAAAACTTCCAGTGATGTGATGTGGCCTTGTTAAATCGTAAAGTAGCAGGCCTGTGAATACATCCAATAGAAATATTGCTCTTGGTTTCGAGACGGTTTTGCCGAAAAATACTACTTACTTGGTAAGTAATGACTTGCTATTTGCCGATCACATTGGAACATTTCTGTGGTGAAATGTCTGCTGCACAACCTGAACTAATTCGCTCATACATCACATTAAATCAGGCATTGCAGTGACTAGTGAGCAGGAAGTCACGTCGTTCATGGGAGTTTGTGAGAACATGGCGACTTACAGAACTTTAGAAAAGTTCATGATCTTGTGCTTGATTCAAAATGTAATCACTGGTCTGAAAGACTGGGACTGCAGCTCCCCTGTAAGACTCAATTCACAGCCCTTGGGCCAGGTGATGTGAGCTCCCAGGACTGTCAGAGGCAGCTGGTACAGGAGACGATTAATCTTTCTAATTGGGAGGTTCGATAAAGGAAAAATATTACAGATTCCACCCATCCTCTTCTAACTGTTTCATCCAAATTCATGGCTGAGGGGGAGCCAGAGCCTATTCTGGCAAGCAACGGGCACAAGGCAGGGTACATCCTGGATGGAACGCCAGTCCACTGTGGGGCAGACAGACACACACTCACACCTAGGGCCAATTTCCCTAGAAGCCAATGAACCCACCAGTATGTTTTTGGACCATAAGAAGTACCAGGAACACACAGAGGAATCCCACGTAAACATGGGCAGGACATACAGTACAAACTCCACGCAGGTAGCGCTCCAGCTCCGGAATTTAACCCAAGGCTCAAGCGCTGTGAGGTAGCCATGGTAACCACAGCACCACCGTGCTGCCCTATTACAGACTCCAATGTTTACAAGGTCCAAATCACTAAATCAATCTACTCAAAATCATTTTGTTTAGGGCTTAAAAGTTGCTCTCGAGTGTTTAATGATCACATTTCTGCTCAGACCTGTGGAAAATTATGGTAATTGCTGCTTCCAAGCTTTTAACTTTTAACAGTGGATTAAATCTGTGTATGTTACTAAAATTATCCATTTGAATATATTTAAATATTTAGAATATATTTATGAAGCACGTCACAGAGCAAAATACATCTATGTCTTATTTCAGGTAATATGTGTAAAGTTAGATTAGGACAAATGAACAAACCAACTGCAATTTTGCAAACATTGTGGAAGATAAAGATAAAAATGGCGCAGTGAAATCATCTTTCTGATGCATGGACAAGTTCAAGTTTTGTTTTTTTTCCCTGGGTCCTGGCAATAAACAACAGATTCACAAACAGACCTTTGAGCACTGTGGACTTTCTTGGCCTTAAATGAGAATGCTTTGTGTGTTGATGGCCGTGTGGAATGTGAAGTTCTTTTTTTTTTCGCCGCACAAATTTCATAGAGATAAAACGACTGAAGTTTGGCTTGCATATAAAATGAAAATGTAATACCTCCAACTCCCTGTCCATGCAACATCTACACCATTATTTTCTGCCGAAACAGTTTCAGCGTGTTGCACAAATAACATCAAGTAATGGACTAAGAAGGATCAATTTTGTAGGACACCCTGTAAACCCTACACACCCTGCAATCATTACTGAATACTTCTCAGCTAATGTATACACAGCCTATATTACTTGCTGATTCAATCCAATTTTTATTTTCAGAAATTGTTTATCTTATTTTGAAGAAAAAAAAACGAATGACTGAACCTTGGAATGACTTGTGTTTTTTTTGTTCCTGGCATTTCTATATTTTTGTTACCTTACAATGTAAATACCACAAGTGCGCAGATGTTCCTCAATCGAGCTCTGAAAAGTTTCTCAATTTAAGAATCGTTGAGCATCGGCCTTTTCACCTTTTCTGTGTTTAACATTTCAAATTCCTCCTTTTACAGAAAGCAAGAGTCACCAAGATGAATGAACAGGTCTTTCACTGGGAATAATCATTTTGAAAACATAACATTTGGTATGAAGACTGTGAAGCAGCAGAGTGGTTAGCACTGCTGCCTCACAGCACTGAGGCCCTGGGTTTAACTCCGGATCTGGAGCGCTATCTGTGTGGAGTTTGTATGTTCTCACCGTGTTCAAATGGGTTTCCAAAATGGGATGTTTTTTGTGCCACGTCCCACTACCCAGAATCCAAAAACATACTGCTAGGGTAATAAGATTCTGTGAAAACTGGCCCTGGTGTGAGAGTGTACATGTCTGTTTGTGCATGTCCTGTGATGGACTGGCGTCCTGTCCAGGGTGTAGCCTGCCTTGTGCCAGTTGCTTGCTGGGATGGGCTCTGGCTCCCCCATAACCCAGTACCGGATGAAACAGTTAGAAAATGAATACACGAAGATAGTAAAACTGTATCATAAAAGAAGGGAAAGATCGAAAACTCTAGATGTAATCGGCGGCAGGTTTATTTACTTTCCCTGTCACGTACCAGAAGACTGCTTACCTGATGTCATTGTATCTGTAGGGATGGTGCTGCATGACATCCTGCAGAAACCGTTCCATAAGGCTGCCAGAACCCACATGACTCCTGGAGCTGCTCACAAAGTCCCTGTGTCGAGCACTCAGAATATGCTGCAGTTGAAAAGCAGATATGTCTCAGAAAATAAAGACTGCATCCTCATTCATTCAGTTTTGGGAAAACATGGACAGTTTGCCACATTCCACTACCCAGAGGTTTTCAAACACTGCACAAAGCACAAAGAAATATTCCAAATTCACTCCTTCCCCTGGTAATACAAAAGTAACTATAAAGCTGACACAGCTCTATCGACCTGGGACTGGCTGGGGGGTCCTTCAACCACTAACCTAGGCCTTGGATTTAGGCAAGATTTAATTAAAACCCTGTTGACGTAAAATAAACGTTGCATTGCAGAGAAATGTACATTAATCATATTACTACAGTCATCCACCTGTGCTTCTTCCAATTCCAAGTCACAGAGGAGCAAACATATGCTGATGCTTACATATGTTGGCAAATACATGTATTTAGATAACTGAATTCTTTAACAGGTTTGTGTCTTTGCTTGTGATCCAGCTTAATCAGGTGCTTTTATAAAAAGGTGAACAAGTAAAGGTTAGTTCCGTGCTGAAAGTGAAGTGAAAACATTTTGGCTGTGGAGTCTTTACACACCTGAAAAAGCCTTTTCACTTTTCAGCGTGGAAGCACTTGTTCCACTGTACTGTAGCTCCCTACTCAAATCTCTTATAAACAGATATTCCATCCATCCATTTTCTAACCACTTCATCCAATTCAGGACCGCAGGGGAGCCAGGGCCTATCCCAGAAAGCAACAGGAGCAAGGCAGGGTACGCCCCGGATGGGACACCAGTCCACGGCAAGGGTAGACAGACACGAACACCGAGAAGCACACACTCACACTCACCATTTTCCCAGAAGCCAATTAACCTTACCAGTATGTCTAATCCACTTATCCCATACAGGGTTGCAGGGGGAGCAAGCAACAGCCACAAAGCAAGATGCCACCGTGAACAGGACACCAGTCCAACACAGGGCTCTCACAGACACAGACAGGCACACACAATTTCCCCTGCAGCCAATTAACCTACCAGTACATCTTTGGACTGTGCGTTGGTGGTATAGTGGTGAGCATACAGTAGCTGCCTTCCAAGCAGCTGACCCGGGTTTGATTCCAGGCCAACGCATCGGCAAATGTTTTCAAATGCTGTCATGAACCTAGGAATGCGACTAGCAAAGCTTTGGACTGTAGTAGGAATCGAGAGCAACGAGAACAAACCCATACCAAAAAGTGGAGAACAAACTCCACACAGATAGAGCCCAGGGCCCCAGAACTGTGAGGGAGCAATTATAACTACTGCACCATCACACTGCCCTAGCGCAACATATTAGCATGAACACTCAACCCAAGAAATGATGACACGAAAGGAACAGAAGGGGTCGTACCTGTTCCAGACTGTTGTACAGAACCTGACAGCAGCTACAGAAACCCTGTCTAGCCTGTGCTGTTGACGGTCCAGGGACTGCAAGATCCAAAGAAGCACTATGACTGTGAGGGGAACAAAAAAAAACCTGCTGAAGATTGACAATGTCATTTTTCCATTTAATTGAACATTTTTAATGTTGTATAATCAAAAAAGTATCCACAAATATAGGGACTAGCAAACACCAAGCAGCAGCAAAATAAATTCTTAATTTGGACGGAATTTAAGACTGGAGCTGTACATATAAGCAGTGAAAAATAAGTTATAAAAATGGAAGCAATATATGAAAAGACTACTCACATACATGTTTGAGACAATAAGAAGAAGTAACAAAAAGGGAAACAGTATATATGGTGGGATATATAGTCCTGAGAAGTGCAGAAATTTAACAAAGGGATGTTGTTTTTCAAGGAAAGTAAGACTAGTAACACCTCATTTTGCACATTATGTGATTGGCTACCACTTTACAAAAAAAATCCAGTGCTGCTCTGTTCTCAATCCAGAAAATAGCAACCAGATATAAGAACTAAACCTTTTTAGTCATTAAAAAAAAGAGAAAAAAACTAAGACGGTACCAGATGCAGATATTTTTAAGTACCAAGTTTTACATTGAGGAATTTCAAAGACACTGACAAACCCAATCCAATGGATTTCCAACAAGTGAACAGAGTTCAAAAGTGGACGCAAAGCTGAAGTGAATTTAAAACTGACAACAAGAAGCTGGATGCGATCTAGATGATCCAGAGAGTAAAAGGGACAATCGGCCCCTCTTGTTTTTAACCTTACTTAAGTCCGTACATTCGCAACCATTTCAATCGTTTTTCTCCAATTTCTTCATTTTTTTTAAATTATTTAATTAAACTTAAATACATAGTGATATTAGCACTTATTCTTCTCTGAAATGCACATAGTGCAGGTGAGTAGGATCCAGAACAAGCAAATCTAACTAAACAGTGAGTGTAATTCTTGATAAAATGAGACATTTCCATTCAAACAGTAGCTAATATTTGAAAACTTTTCAAATGTGATTCAAAACTTAAAGTGACATATGCTGTAACACCCACTTTGCTAACTTCAGATTTGTAAGGCTTTTAGGTTTTGGATCATCTATAGAACTGAGAAGTGAAACTGTTGAAAAAACAAGAAAAAAAATTCTTGTGTCAAGAAATTTTATCAAGACGTTTTGACACATCCAGGTTTTGATGTAAGTGACGGTCTACAAAACAAGTACGTAATACTGTCTGGTTTTAAGGAGATGTGCAATTGGGTATAATTAGTAGAGCAGTCAAATGTTATACAATGCTTTTGAATAATTTTACATAAAGGTAACACAAAGAAAAGAAAATCGGATGAAGATCCATATGGGACACCAGAAATTATTTACTGTATAAAAGCTATTTGATAAGCATGATCTAAACAACTTGGGTATATTTTTAGAATGACAGATGATCCAAATGTCACAATTCACTGTATCAAATGTAGGACTGAGGTTCAATACTCAACATCATCACCAAATCATTTATTTGGTGTATATATATATATAAATATATATTTATATATATTGCTTATAATTGCAATGGATCTATATTGACATTTTTCAAGGCAATTACTAGCAGTCAGGAACTCGTTTACCTTTGTTTTAACTTTGTTTAACAAGGTGAGAGGACCTTGCTATAAAGGAAGATTTGAATTAGTAATAATATAAAAATGAAGGAAATAGTAAATTAGTGTGGTTTTAAAAGAATCTAGAACCACTCCTGTTTTCAGAAAATCGTGTCAATGCGAGAATGTCACCTCTATGGTTGAAAAACACCATCCGTCAAAAGACTTCATCAAATGGGATCACAAATGATAGTTACAGATTATTCATCTATGGCAGTTGCTGACATTTTTCAATTAACATTTGGATGTTATATTTGACTCGCTGATGTTTTGAGTCACAAATTGCAGAAAATATTGAGTAGCCCATGTTTTTATGCAACCCAGTTTTCTACAGTTTTCATTTAGATCAGCGGTCTCCAGTCCTGATTCTGTCTTATGGGTGATTTGTTTTATAAGATTGGAAATAAATATAAGCTATTGATGAATCAAGTATTTGCTCAATTAAGAAAACTCTTTTCTTTGAAAGCAGGAGGACAGAAGATATTAGTCCTAAATGATTTCGAAATTCTTTAATTTAACAAAACTGTCATGTATTTGACCACAACAGAATTGGTTTCCTATCTTTAACAACTAGTGGTTTAATGGGGTGACCTATAAAACCTTCTGGGTTATTATCGGGCAGGTTTGGAGATCCCAGATTTAAATAATATACATACAAATACAGCATTATAAAACCTGCTTATCTAGAGCGAACAAAAAAAAAGAAAAATAATTAATATTCTTGGCTGGCATCAATGCCATAAATCACAAACTGCAATGTTCCTTGGTAACAACGATAAATGAATTTGGTATTTAGAAGAATCATGTTTATGAGGTAGCAATCATTATTGTCATGTAGCAGTTTTATGCTTCATTTCAGGACACACTGAAGAAAGGAGACATCTTCACATACAGTATGAGAGACAGTTCACATTAAAAGGTTAACACAGCAACACTTTACATTATGCATTGCAAATTCCAATTTCCAATTCTTCATATACTGTAATAGAACACTCATACTATTATTAGTTCAAATAACTAAGTCATAACTGATCCCTACTAATAACGAATAACAGATTTAGTAGTCTTCAGAATTCTCCTATGGTGTCCGATTTTGTGAAATGACAAAATGAAGCTTACACATTTTTTAAACCTTTTATTCAAAACAGGAATGCTTAAACTGAAGGCTTCCAAGGTTAAGACAAGTTACAGTAAATGTCAGCCAAAACTAAAGAGGGAAAAAATATGTTGAAATATGTTGATTGCACAAGTATTCAGTCCTGTTAAGTCAATATTTGGTGGAACCACCTTTGGCGGCAATTTGTTTTTGAGGAAGTCACTACCAACTACACCAAATTCACTGTGGTTTAAAATTTTAGTTTATTTGGTTTAGTTATAAAATTGATGACGTCTTATACCTTTCAGAGAGTGTACAATATTTCACTGAATTATGGATTATGGGGACAGTTTATTTTTAGAGATCAGTTCATACAGCATTTTTCTCCACAGATTCAGAAGGAAAATTAAAATACTATACTCACCCACTGATTCGATCTGCTTTTGCTAACGGTTCAACTTGTGTCCGATCTACTTCTAACAAGAGATCAAAAAGTTTATTAAATATAGTCATGAACGCACTGGTAAACTAAGGATATTTAAAACACCAACTAACAATATTGCAAATACACTTCTGATTCTGGGATTTTTTTTAATTGCTTTATTGTGCTTGCCCTGTTCTAAACTAGAAATTAAAAGTTCCAGATACCTGAGCTTCACAATGTGTTTGTATATTTTAATTGGGATCTTCCATTTTAAATAATTGTTTATTAAACAAAGACAATGGCAGTAGAAACCTGTGCTATGTTGAATACTTGAGACAGAAAAGACAGAAAAAGATTGATGCCAGATGAGGATTTACTCAAGCATGCAAGCTGTTGTGACATGAAAACCAAACCTATTTTGAAAATTGCAGTCTTCTCCTGAAAACTACTTCATCGAGTGTAACATCACAGACTTCCTGAACATGGTCTTTTTGGCTTCCTGAACGTTTTTGCCTTCTGCCACAAACCTATTTAAGGGCATTTAAACAACTCCCTGAACTTTTCCACAGTACATTCGTACAAGGTGCAGCTGTATTTTTCTAAGCCCAACGTCTCTCCTTCGAAAGATTTCCAAATTATCATTTATTTTTATAAAGCTCAAGTCTCTCTAAAGATTCCTCAAGACAAGGAAAAGCAAATTCAGCACTTAAAACATCAAGCGGATTTATCTACCATACGTACAGCATTAACCTTTCACAATATCGGAGATAGCCCAGGACATTTAGCTTTTGGCATTATTGTAATTAAAACAGGGAGAAAGATGGAGACAAATTGCAGATGTCAGCCTGGGATATTCCACTGGTAGAACCTAAAGTGTCAAGAGAACTAAATACCCTCAAGAGATGCACAGACCGTGTAATTATCTGGAGTGTGAAGGACAGATATGCCAAATGTCTGCGGTATTTGTAAGTAATGGGACAACTAAAAAGAAACTCCACAAAAAAAAAGTTTTCAGTGTAACGGTTCATTATTCACCCCTCAAATCACTCCAAAAGCTTTTTGTTGCTTTTACAGCCAACAGCCTGAAAGCAATGCTTGCCTCATTATGGAACACATTTGATCACATACTGTATGAACGCGCTGCTGTTTGCTTGCTTGGCCTAATATTGAACAGCCTGCGCTGAGCAGATGGGCATGCGATTTTTGTGGGACATCTCACAATGCACCAAAGTACATAGGAACAGAATAAACAGCAGCACCCCAGCACTGGTTGGGAAATACACCAGGAACATTATCTGCAGTTTACTTCAAGTGATAAATATACCAAGTGTGTTAATAATCCTCTTCTTCCTCCTCACACATGACTCAGAAATTAAAGTAGTGACAAGAATAATTTATCACTGTAAATTACAATGCCTAACAATACTGGATATATAAACGGAAAAGTGTTTATTTAAAGAAAATTAAGCACTAAAAATTAATATTATTTTTCTAATTCATGTAAAAATTGAATGCTCTCCCAAACTTTTATTTTGTACAAATATATGCTACAATGTCATTGGTTGTCAAGAAGGACAACACCTCTTCAAGGCACACTACTGTAGAGATTTAAATATGCTATGAAAACTGAGGCTGCTGGGAAGCAATTCCTATGTGTCAGGTGTACAGAAATCAAACTATTAGTTAACGAACAGAAAGCAGCTCAGCCTCGGATTCCACTTGGCGTTGGTAGTGAGGGAGGTTTATGAGGCCCAACTATTCAAATCTCACACATCGGGTTCCTCAGAATAAATCTTCCGACGGAACAGGTGACAAAGCAACACAGACCTTAGAGATACCCCCTAATGCAGGTACAGACGTTAACGTTTCTTAGAACAGGGAGTTGCGCATCGGCACAAACCAGTCTCTGTGGCCGTGCATCTGCTCAGAAACCTTAACTGAGAAGGAGAGAGGAAAACAAAGCCAAAAGATTGAAGCAAAGATTTCCCTGGTCGGGGTGCTATTGTGTTCACCACATATTTAAAATTCTACAGCATTGTCACTGCCGATCCGGACACAGGCCTAGGGGGTTATGTGGCACTTTCTGACATGCTGCCAGACAACCAAGCATGCTAACGTAACACTGTCTTAGGTAACATAGCATTCATCCGTCATCAGAAAGCAGCTCATTCCTGGAAAAGCCTGCGGCACAACGGCTTTATGGGACTCCAATTGAGAGCAACCAGAAAATTCCTTTACCTGAGTGTTGCATGAAACAGGAAGAGCTCTTACCTTGCGCAGATGGAGCTGACTGTTCTTCGGCCGGCATGGTCTTATCGCACATCTAAAAATATACATATCCGATCATGTTCATTTTCAGGAATACTAAGCTGGGCAAACACACCATGTCGAGCTTTAGCAATCAGCAGGAGGAGCTACAGGTGGTGAACGTTCTTTGTCCTGTGAAACATGAACAAGAAAAAGAGCAGTCACAGATGGAGACCTTTTCAAATATCTCAGATTTATAACCTAGAAATATTCTTTGCGTTTAGAAAGGGGGATGCTAACAAGTCAAGAGACAATTTACAGGGGTAAATAAAAAAAACTTTATATTTGAAGACAATAATTCTCCCACTTAGGCAGTTTGGAGTGTTTAGGTTTTATGATGGCAGGTACTTACATATAACTTAAGTCTAAACCTTTTTACCATTTGCCCTTACCAATCATGGCCTCCTAATAATCCCCATTTATGAACTGTCTTCATTACTCTTCTCTCCTCCCCACTAATAGCTAATGTGTGGTGAGTGTACTGACACACTATGGCTGCTGTCACATCATCCAGGTGGATGCTGCACATTGGTGGTGGTGGAGGGGAGTCCCTATTACCTGTAAAGCACTTTGAGTGGAGTGTCCAGAAAAGCACTTTATAAGTGTAAGAAATTATTAATTATTATTATTATAAACCTAGTGCTTTGTATTTCATATTTCAATTCAGTACTCACTGTTCCTCAGCTCTTTTCACTTACTTTAGTCAACCACACATTAACACATTCAGCACCAGTACTAACAGCTTGTATAGGCTTAGTAAGTTGTATTATCCTGTGGACCTCAGCTCTTCCTTGTTAAAAATAATCTATTTTCCTCACTTTCCACGGCTTTTCCAGAAATTGTAACTTTCCTTCTTTTTTCGTTATCTTTCCATTTTAGCTACTGAGATTTTCTTTGCAGGTTCTGGACATGCAATTAACCCCTTACAGGATGACAAACCTCATTTTTTACAATATGAAGCAGCTTCAAAAGCACACAGTTGCTAGCATCTCTCTGCGCAAGCCAAATGATTCAATTTGAAATATCCACAAATCCTGTTTATTTCCCCCAATGTGCTTGGAGGTTATCATTGGCAGAACAAAGCTCTTTGAAGCACCTGTACAACTGTGTAATTATGATGCAGCAAATCTCTGCGGTTAAAACATAAACTGGTATTTGTCTCTTTGATTAACAAAAATGCTCGTCCTGTGAACCAAGACAAGTATGAAAAACAACAAATAAACAACACACAATGTGGAGAATGAGGATGAACTCGAAAACCACAATGCTGCACCAACCTTATCTACTGGTACAGCACGAGGCAAATCACCAGTTTTGGAGAAAAACAAGTCAACTCTGCTTCTTGGTTTACATGTCACTCAAACATCCATGTTTTATGGCATTTTGAGAGTCTTCGAAGTTGGAACTACCATCTGAAAATAAGAACAGACACCTGAATGGAAGCAAACTTACTGTAGGTTAAAGCATACCCAGCTAGAACCTGATGCACTGTATAAGTATTTTATCACCCCCAGAGTAGACTTACACATACAGTGAGATTTTTTTTATTAGTGTTGACATTAATTTAAGTCCAATTTCCCCAGCTCCAAGTAGTAACTCGAATTACTTGTACTGTAGATGGTTTCACACATGATCAATGCCTGCACCCTGTCCCTTGCCCAGTATAAGATAGAATTTATAACATTAACCACAGGTCCTGACAATAACTAAATGCCTATACAGGTTTTGCATACTGCTGATTGAGGGCAGAATTACCTATGCTATTCGTCAAACTTAAGTTAATTGCAAGCAGGAGAAAATGTGGAATTGTGGATGGGCTAAGAGTTAAACACATGTAGTTTACATAAGGTGAGCATGCAGTCTGATATTATAATATCAGCAGTCAGCTTGGTTATTCTAGCTATACTGTAATATCTCAACTTAGATTCAAACTCTTTTTAACTCTAGACACTTTTAAAAAAAATAGTGGGTCATTTTAGGACCAAAAACCCTACTTCATGAAGCCTTTAATAACTACCACTAGCCTAGTACCATAACAATAGACTATTTTCATAAATAGCTATTATAAGTATACTAGCACTGAAAAAGTGCATTTTTACGTGGAACATCTCAAAATTTCACAAAAATTGAAAACCATCTCAGGTAAAGCTAGATATCGTGAATATATTCTAGCTAACAATGATACGCACATTGCAGATTGTATAAATACAAGACAAAAAACATGAAGATGAAATTCACACCGATTACAAACCTCAAGCAGGGTTTGAGCAGTAAACTAACATGTTTAGAGAAAGATGTATATTAAATCTAAAGCTATATTGTGCGTTGGAAATGCTTTGAGAACTACTTTGCTGATGCATTCAGACCGTGATTTCCTGTCCCTCCGTGCGAGTCATCACCGCCAGGCCGCCCGGCTCGCAGGTTGATGAAGGGAGAGACGTGCTTCCCCATGCACTCACTTGTGCTCAACACCCGGCCTCTGAAACCAGAGGGATGCTAACCTCCTTTTACACTTCGGTGTAAAACCATTTACAGCCAGATGTTTTATAACTGCGACGGCTGCTAACTATCCGGAACGCCCGAAGAATTTCTTGTCTGTTTGGAGACCCACAAGTACCTGGGGACACCGCCAATTTTACCATGACTTTCTCATCGCTTGGTCGTCTGGTGTTTTTCTTGTACCGTCAAACTCTTTCACAGAAATGAAACTTGCATACAAAAAAAAAATGATCCCCGGAATGTTTTCTAGCATTTATTAGAATATCTCAGCTACCACTATATACATTAACAGCTAAATAACCTTGTTTCAAAAACCCGCCCTACGAATACTCTCCCTCCAGGCTAGTTGCAGAAAATGTCTTTCCTATATTTACCTTTCACTAGTAAAATAAAAGGCACTACAACTCATAGTTTACCCTGCTGTTAGGGATGCACCAGTAAAGTTTAATTTTAAATGCGATACGCTTTACCGCTCAGACGTGTAATACCGCAATCTAAGTGCACCGGAATTCCCAAAAAGGTACATGGAAACAAATAGTTTTAAGACTAAACTTCGCTTATTTTTTTATTTCTAGCAGCTACCTTACCAAGCAGAAACTCTACATACGGCATGAACCTCTGACACATTTTACGAAAACTCAAACTAAATATATCAACAGTCCACGAACGCTTTTCCTCCTGTATAAATGAACTGCTCATGTTTCAATCGAGTGTATACCGTAGATACCCGTTCATCGATATATATATATGTATGCATGTAAAACTCCTGAGGTAATGGGTCGAGATACTCATATTTAAAAAGAGTTTAATGGGTAATAGATAACACGAACCATCGTGTTATAGCACCGAAGAAAACAGGACAAGAAGCAGAAACAGGGAAGTTTAGACTAGACTGGTGTGTATCAACGAAAACAAACGTCAAAAAGCTTTCAAGCTTTCCCCCTAGACGTGGTTATTCTGTGTATGAATTCTCAGAAATACCCCCCGAAGCAGATAGCTAAAAAGTCTGCGTTCATCGCTAAACCGTAACATAGGCGCGAATTAAAGCCTTTCCAGTAAAAATATTTAAAGAGCCTGAATGACTTGGACGTGTTTACAGTCAAACTGTTTGTAACCTGATTGGTCGCGATACTGACAGCCGACTTCCTGTCTGCGGCCCAGGCCCGCTGGAGTAGAGAAGCATAAATCCAAAGCACTTTTCTGCAGTTCACAAAGCACGCCTTCAGCTGCGGCCCCTGCACAAAGCAGCCCCAATCCTCTCTGAAAAGGTCGGCCTTTCTTATTTCTTGCCCAGCCCGCGGGCCAGTAAACAACAGGCAGGCCCGTGTCCCTTAAAACTAATTCATCGTGAAAACATGAACTGCATGCAGAACAACAGAGCCACTTCAATCGTGTTATCGAGACGTGAAAATGTAGCAGCCATCTCAGCCAAACGCTGATGGTAGGAAAATGGCACAATGACTTGACGAAAAAAAAAAGGGATTTTATATTCTTGCACTGATTTTCACCTTATTTTGGTTGTGATTCCACTACAGATCCTAGCACCATCCGAATTCAAGTTTCCCCATTTTCTCTTCCCGCAGTGATACAGTGACGCCGTACAACCCAGGAACACGCCCACTTTCAAGAGTCAAACAATTAAAGGGGAAACACGGTTTTTATTTTGCTTTAAGCGCGTCTGCTTTTGCCAGTTCAAGAGCTTGAGAGCATTGTAATTGTAAGGATGACCGAATTCATACTCAATGAGCCGATTACAGCCCAAGCAGGTTGCATACAGCTAAAATCACAGGGAGATTAGAAAATTTCAAGACAAGGATCGGTCCGTTCAGTCTGTGCGACATTTATGGCATGCTAGAGTTTTTACTTCTTCAGTCGACCTTCAACCATAAACTCTACAAATTACATAATATAGATTTTAAGGAACAAGTAATAGGTTTATTCCATGCTGAAAAAAAAAAAAAAAAAAAACAAAACGTCGCCCCCGGAGACACAAAAACCCAAAAACGGTGTTTTCTTTCTTCTTTTTTTCAGCATGGAATAAACCTATTACCTGTTCCTTTTGCACCCTACGCATGCTGACGTAGCTACACACCTGAACTATATAGATTTTTAGACCACTTATAAATGTACTATAGACATTCGTTGTAGGGCCGGATTTTAGTGTTTGTAGGCCCTAGGTACTTTCACTTCGAAATGTGCAAAAAGAGTGGTAAACGCCAATTGAATTACGTCGATTGACATGATGCACTTGAAACTATTCTATTGCTAAACCACGTGATTGATGGAGCGATATCACTTCGGTACTTCAAGTTTCTAGAACAGCCGCTAGATAGCGTATGATTATTGATTTGGAGCACCTAGAGTCGATCGCAGGCATGTTGTTTCAGCTCGTTTTTCATTAGTCACTAGTGTTTCCCTCCTTCATAGGCACTAGTCACCGTGCCTACAGTGTCTAATGGGAAACCCGACACTGATCCGTTGTTATAGCATTATTTGTATAGACAATCGCATATTATAAAATGATCGGTTCTAAACTTTGTTCAACATTTTTTTCTTCAGTTGTCGAAATGAGCATTTTTTCAGGATTAGGCCCTCCTGTCGAGCGTTGACCCGATACAGGAGATCCATAAAATGATGGTGGTATAAAATGAACAAAATTGTTGCTACTTTGACCATCACAGCTCTATCCTCTAATCTGAAGCACCTGCTATGGTAAGGTGTAGCAAGTGAGGCTCTTGACATTGCAGTGAAGCCACAAATCCATAAATGACTCCCATCCTTGTTTGCTCTGGCAGCAACTACTGCTTTCGAGTCAAACATCCTGAACTAATTCTAAAACACTTTGGCAGTGTCAAATATTTCTGTGGGCCTAAAATCTCCCAAGAATTCCATGTATTCTATTCATTTTAAAGTCTTTCATGTAACTGTGATGGAAGAGGCACCGCTGGTGTTATGAGATCCGTCAAAATCTATCCCCGATGCTTCACTTGAATTAAATGCGCTAAAAAAACTGACTGGTCCGCCTGCCATGTTTTTAACTGAAATGCTAAATCTGCTGGACTGCAAACATCTGTTCCAGAGAATTGCTTTTGAGTTTTGAAACTCCCCAGAAACACCCATCTCTGGAGAGTCAATAAAGCACAGATTAATTCATTGTATTTCCAAAAATGGCTTTGTTGGACAGAACCAATCAATGCAGTACAGCCCTTTTAACCACAAGCGTAGTAAGCTACCTAGTGGGTCTACAAGATCTTGAAGGAAAGGCAGGACATCGCAGTTCTATAATCAGGTGCATTGCAATACATTTGAAAATAAGGTTAAAGGTTTTTAGTCAATTTGCTTGTGTTCATTACCGTGAATAGGATTTAAAACTATAAACAGGAGTCATATCCTTATACAAAAGGAAGGATTGTGGGGGTCTGAAACAAGCTGCCCAGCTATGTAGTCTAAGCCAATAACTTGACTTTTTTTCAAGACATGGCTGAACGTGGTTTTCTTGGTTCGATTCACTATTCGTAGCTAAAAGCACTACATGGGCACAACTCATATCATTTTGTAGCCGGTTTCTGTCTTATGCTCGTCATCAGTCTTTGACATTTGAACCACACTTCTTTGAGAAACAGGCTTGGCTTTCCTTTATGCTTTTCATGTTGCAAACAAGGTTGGAGATCGTAATTGCATGACAAGTGTCTTCAGCTAAACTAGCGGTCACGAATGAGCTCAGCAGTACCTAATAGATCCAGCAGCACCTAAAAGATGATTCTTTACTGAGGTTTTCATTTGTAATTAAATCACAGGTTTCATTCAATTGTAAAAGCTGCGGGATTTCAGTCCTTAGGAACTAGAGCTGGTGGGATGGTTGTCACAGGACATGATGATATTGAATAAAATCCCATACTTAAGAAGCCACAATAAATAATGTGAATTAGGAAAGTGAATTTACAGAGGACAGTCAGTTAACATCAATATATGAGGACAACCAGCATTCTCCTGAACCTGGGTGAGCACAAAACAATGTTTTGAGAAGATGATTATAGGAAAACAGCCAATATTTTGTATGCTGGAATACTAGTGGATTTTCTTAAGAAATCCTGGGATTTATATTGTTTGAATAAATGGGCGCAGCTGAGGTTCAGATGTGACAAGTTTGTTTGTAATTCTCAGCTTGACTATTCTGACGGTTTGGCTAAATATTTGTGCACTTTTAAACAGCAGTGAAATGACCCTTGAGAAAAGTGAGCAGGGCAGATGGTTCCTAAAGAGAATTCCCAATGGATGCCTCATAATTTATTCAGGTTAATTCGCTTGGCTGTTAGATCATTGAATCTAACGTTTTTTTCCCAGAAGCCAATTAACCTACCAGTATGTCTTTGGACTGTGGGAGGAAAGCTGAACATCTGGCAGAAACCCACACAAATGTGGGGAGAACTTATCAACTCCACACAGATAGCACCCCAGGAATCCGCTGTCAGTCAACAATGCTAGCCACCACACCACCGTGCCACTATGAGAAAAACAATGTAAAAAAAAAACGTTTTTATAAAAACACAAACTCTATTATCAAACACATTATCACAGCCACGTCTCTGAAGAGTCGATATCTATTTTTAGCATATCCCTAACGATATACCTAACGGCACCTGCCGGAATTGATCTTTTATTAAGTTTATAGATTTTCAGTTACTTAAGAAACGCAGCAGAAAAAAGAGCAAATGTTGAAATGGCTAGGAACTAAAAACAAAAACTTTCGAAGTCTATTAAGTCTATTAAGGGTTCAGTAATTTAAATTCAGTGCTCGGATGGCCCCAAACCCAACAGGTCTGTTGTTCCAGGACCTGGAACCACAGATCGAACTTTTTACAGTTTTCATTGGTCACTTGCCACGATAATTTATCTGCATTTTTTAAGAAACCGCCAAGCTGGGCTGAGCGACACTATCGCGGCAGAGACGTGGAAATACTCGCGAAAACGCCTGAAACCACACGGAAACAATCCAGAGAAACTCATGCCAAAGCCCACACACGACGCCTATGGCGCACCGACAACTCATTTTAACAAAATTACCAATAACTGCTCTTACGTCACTTTATTACATAATCGGGAGAAGAAGATGATGTAATATCACGATTGACTGGTTCGTCTTGGAATACAACAATCTACCAATAAACTATTAACTATATTATTCACATCTCCGGTCAACCAATGCTACTTATATTTCATGATCTTGACTCGTTGTCACGTACTGTATGTAAAATGTAAAAATATAAAAAAAAGTGTCAACATTTGAGGGAATCGATTGTGTTGTTGAGGTGTGTTATTATAACCTTTCTTTCCTTTTGTTAGTTGCTTTCGAGTATAGTAAACGCATAGACTTTTTCTATTTAACCCACGATAGAAAGTAGAACGTAGAACAGAGTCAACATTTGAAGACTAAAACGTGCGAGGAAAACCCATGGAAAATCGGACTACATCTGGTTTGGAAGCCAGTACATCGAAAAGGACAACTATTATTCAAATTATTCAGACACCAGAGCCGATGGTCTCAGGAGCCAATTAGCCTACCAGTGTGTCTGTGGACTATGCGACGAAACCGGAGCACCTGGAGGAAACCCAAACGAACCCGGGGAGAACATGCAAACTCCACACAGACAGTCACCCCAGGTCCGGAACTGAACCCCGGGCTCCAGCGCTACCTTGACCTAAATTATTGTCTCGTTGATGGCGTCCGGTATGGCTGCATCTCAAACCACTTCGGCTGCTGATTAACAGTGAACAGAACTCAACGCCCTTTCAAGTGCACACCAGCACACACAAAATCAGCTTCAGAAGTGCTTTCAAAAGGGAGACGACGGTATTTGCTAGCTTCTTTCAAATCGTTTGACAGTCGTTAAGATGGATCATTTCATTAAAACGCTAGTGCGAAGACGAGCAGGCGTTATTTATTCTTTAATCTACCAATGCCTGTGAGTTACTAGCTATTAATTTACTTAATGCTGTTTTATCCAAAGCTACTTGACTTTGTACTTATTTATACAGCTGGTATTTTACTGAAGAAATCTCAAGTACTATGTGTTGCTCACACAGTACTTGAGAACACCTGTTCAACCTAACCTAAAAATTCAACTTCAAGTCCAGAGTCTGAACTCCTCACCGTTTTGCCTCAGTTGGAAATCTGGTTTACCCCGAATAATTTCCAACCTGCACGGAGATGTTGATAGTACCTGTTTGGCCTCTCTCTGAAAATTGTAGGAGCGTAATACAAAAGAAAAAAAAATCACAAATATATAATTCGCATGTAAATTGAGGTGTGCTGTTAGTTTGATGTCAGATGTTCTTTTTTCCCTCTAGTTTATTTATTACACCCTCATGCATAAATTATGAACAGGATTCACAGGAAAAGGTGGGCTGTATTGAAAGGTGCCCGCCCTGTCACACTACAATATGGACAACAGTCTGAAAGCGTCCACTCGCAAAGATCCACCTAAAAAGTCTATCATAGAGGGAACTTGAGTGGGAATTTATTTTTTTACAGTTGGTATATTATTTCAAAAGACGTACAGACCCAGGACTCACTTTTGTTTTGCAACTGTAAAAAGTTAACTCTTCAGACTAAAAACGTCGGCTCCCGGGTAAGTTCACGTGTATAAATTAAACAGTTTAGAACGATTTTTTTTTTTGCAGAAAACGTTTCATCCAGATTGGAGATGTTTTTTTTTTGACAAGTTGCCAAATATTTTCAGACGGTTGTTAAGTACACCCAGGATTATGTAACCTACTCGTTTATCATGTGCGGTCAGCGAAGACGATCGTGATTTTATTATTTCACCTTGTATAATTAAAAACTGGTTCTGATTTTTTTTAAAGCACAGAGTGACAGATTCCCTATGCTTGCCGTAACCAGGAAAAGTATACAGACTTTTGTATACAATATGTGGCGAACCAGTGTTATGATAAATTCACATCTGTGACAAATAGCAAAACACGCGAAGGGCACAGATTTCTGAAATCCAAGATCAGGAATCAGAACAGGCTCGGATACTCAGACACCAGATGCAGCAGGCAAAAATAGGACTAGGGGCTCTTACAAAGTAGATTCACATTTTGAACACGTGGAGAAAGAAATTTTTAGTTTGACAAAAACGTGAAAGGGGAACACAATGGGGAATGGGACGGCTAAAAAAAATCACCAAGCAACAGCTAACTAAAAATATTGATTTCCAAATAAGCTCCGATATTCACGCTTGTCCTGTCAAATGTCAAATACAAATAGTCCCTAGGCATCTTTCTCCCTGAAGCATGAATGATCTTTCTGTGCTTTTAATCAGGCCATAGGGTCTTTAGCCTCTACTCGAGCGGTACAGTCTTAACCATTCGCGCAAGAAAACATCTCGCTTGCTGATCATAGACGTCTCTGCTAGGACACGTTGTAACAAAGGTAATTGTAATTGGCTGTAATTACAAATTGCGGTTGTTGATGATGATGCAGATGTCAACGTTCGCGTGAGGTTGGAGGACTTTACCGACAGCTGATTACTATCCTTTTCCCATCGCTAAGTCACGTAAGAAACGTTGATTGAGCACCAACTTCAACAGTTCCAGCGGATTCACAAATGCCCTGCATTTAGAGCGCATCCGAGTCTTAACAAACCGTGTTCCCCGCTGTGTTAAATGTGCTCATGATTGCTAGAATGCGTGGTTGAGTATTAATTTTTGGACTTCTTCCAGATGCAGGGGGAAGGTTCGCATTGGTGGAATGCAGAGGCTGAGAACTTCGGCAGAAGTTTAAATTTAATTGAAATCTTTAAAGCTACAGAATTTAATTGACATAATTAAATCAGGAAATAGGCTACAAATCAGCTAACTTTTTTTCCCCCTCCATTTTATCATTACGTTATCAGAATAAACTTATTAGCTTTTGCATGTATGTTTCTAGAAAGAAATAGAGAGTTTAGATATTGTAACGCATACGGCCGACGTTGCAGGTTGTGCGAGCCGGCTTACCAGCGCGGTGACGCCACCTTCCCTGTGAATAGTAGACACCTCCGCCGCCGGGCTGGGGAAAGTTCTCCCTTTAGCTCAGCTGGCTGGGTGCTGGGTGGGGGGGCCGACCTGAGGCGACAGCGGCGAGGGCGCATACCTACGTGAACCCGAGAGCGCTACAATATTTAGTTAAATGTCTCTGGCATCTTTCCAGTTGATTCCTGACTGATTTTATTATACTCAAGTGACAATAAATGTTGCCTAAGCAAGCGATGAGCTCATTATTGGTGATGAAGTCATTTAACCAGTGGTCAGCAGTGACGCCTCTCAGTGCTGGGGCTCGGGGTTCAGTTCTGAAAATGCGGTGCTCTCTGCGTGGAGTTTGTATGTTCTCCCTGTGTTTGCTTGGGTGTCCTCCCACGTCGTCTGGGAAAATTGGCCCTGGAGTCAGAGTGTGCTTGTCTGCGTTTGTGTCTGCGTTTGCCCAGCGACGGAGTGGCGTCCCATCCAGGATGTACCCTGTCTCGTGCTCGTTGCTTGCCGGGACAGGGTCCGTCTCCCCAGTGACCCTGAATTGGATGAAGCGGTCCACTTTCTAACCACAGACACAAACACACACGCACACCAGGGCCAGTTTTCCCAGAAGCCAATTAACCTACCAGTATGTCTTTAGACTGTGGGAGGAAACCAGGCCATCTGGTAGAAACCCACTTGAACGTGGGAAGAACATAAACTCCATGCAGAAAACAATAGGAATTCCCACTACTGCGAGTCAGCAATGCTAACCACTGTGCCAACCATGAGCTATACAACCTAAGGCAAACATTACTTGCTGCTTTGTAAACACCCTGGGCACATCAGATTGAGAATATAATGGGGATCACATTAAGACGTTTATTATCAATAGGACGTATCAGAGGGTGCTTGTGCGTGAAAACCATTTTAACAAAACAATGAAGGTGGTTGTTGGTCTGATGAGCAGACATTCTCAGAGCGACATCAGGTGAAATGTACTCAGTCACACATTGGCTTTTAAATCTTGAGAAATCTACCAGTAGGTTATGAGAGTCTATGTGCTGTTCTGGAACATGCTGTGAAAAAAAAACCGTGACCACAGCTGTATCATTTCTCAAGTTTCTGAGTGTCTAGCAAAAACGCTTAAGCAGAAACCATGCCGGTATGTCCTGAATTAATTGTCCGAAGTACCGCAGGTCAGAACCACTGTGGTTAAAACAGCACAGATGTGCTTTAAACGAGGGGAAGTGACTTCAACAAAACAGTTTGGTTCTCAACAAGTCCCTGAAGCAGTATCTTATATATAAAGGAACAAGGAATAGGTTTATTCCATGCTGAAAAAAAGAAGAAAGAGAATACAATGTTTCAGCCGTGGAGCCTTCTTCAGGTGTCTGAAGAAGGCTTCAGACACCTGAAGTGGTCTGATACTCCACTCCACTTTAGTTATCGTTATGAAATAAGATGATAGTATTTATTTACTGTATTGGCCACATCTCTGAAAATGCCACTTGAAATAAAAATTGTTCATCATAATACTTTTGAAGTAAAAAAAAACAACAACACTGAATTCAAACCACAAAATCTCCCCAAAAGTCTTATGGACTTAGTGAAATAAGACTTCGAAGGACTATTCCATGTCGAAATGTTCTGAGTCCTAATCTGTGTATCAGACTGTAGATTGATGGTTGTACCCTTTGGAAAACCACACATAGCCTGTACAAAGCATATAATCTCTAGTACAAGGTATCCATTTGTAGATGCTATTCCAGGAATGTAATAAATACTCATTTTCCAGTCTGTCAATTTAAACCAGCTTTTACGCCATTATTGAACTTTATAGTATTTCTTGTATACTTTATTGAAAATCATAGTGGACACAGATAAAGATAAAGATTTTTCAGTAAGAAAAAGCATAGCAACGAAAGTGAGAGGTTTTTATTACATAACAACATTATGTTTTGCCTAACTTATGTCTTGCCGACGCCCAAGAGTGAGTCAGGTTCTCCAAGATAGACTTCTCTTTAAAACAAGAAGGAACATTTCACTGTGTTTATTATTGGACTTCGCCTCTGGGAGAATCCTGGAGAAAGCCCTTGTCTGTAAGTACAGAGACATAGAACCCGGGTAAAAATATTGAGAAAACTGTGTAGATATTTATCATAATGTGATTTCAGAAAGTGTAGCAGAGACTACATGCTTGCTAGGTAGCTAGGTGTCACAGTGTAGGACCAGAAAAGTGGAAAAACAATGAAAGCTCTTGTGGAAAACACAGTGAGAAAACACTTGGCGAAGGATTATCTGTTGTGCACACGCTAGTGTGCTGTCAATCTCATTCAGCCTCAATGGAATTTATTTTTGCAATGGCTATTTGAGATTGCGTTGAGAAATTGTATGCAAAGAGAAGCCATTGTGGTTGTCAAAGTCTTTGAATTGCTGCTATTGTTATTAATTTGGCCTCGTGAGGGGCTGTTTGAGCCAGGATGTCACTCAGTGCAGGCTTGTGATGCAGTAGCTAGCAAAAAAAAAAACAGTCTTTAAAGTCCCAAAGTGCCCGTCTCTGCAGACGTCCACTGGCTGGAAGGAGAGTTATAGTAGGACTAAGTGGAGTTTTCACTGGGGGGACTGGTGATATTATAGGTGGGCACAACAGCCCACCCCCCAGAAGAATTGGGAGGCCAGGTGATGTGAGCACAGTTTTACCAACAATTCAGAACAGAATTGCATTAAAGAGCATTCCATGACCCAGGAGTGCCACGGGTCTGTAGAGATGGGGCTGGAGATTGGGTCCATGTTTGAGCCCTTGCACCAGGACGAGAGGATTCTTCACTTGCAGGTGGAGGGTGTGCATACACTGTGGAAGGTGTGGACCAACAATTCATGCTCTTAGAGTCTTTGATGTTCAGGGGCCAGACATAGGAGTTTGTGCAGTTCAAGGTCTGACTATCTGAGATGTTCAGGGCACAGATGCAGGCGTTTTTACAATTTAAACTCTGAGAGTCTGTGATGTTCAGGGGCCAGACACAGGACTTTCTACAGTTTAAGCTCTGAGAGTCTGGGATGTTCAGGGGCCAGACACAGGACTTTCTACAGTTTAAGCTCTGACTATCTGTGATGTTCAGGGCACAGATGCAGGCGTTTCTGCAATTTAAACTCTGAGAGTCTGGGATGTTCAGGGGCCAGACATGGGGCTTTTTACAGTTTAAGCTCTGACTATCTGTGATGTTCAGGGCACAGATGCAGGCGTTTTTGCAATTTAAACTCCTCATCCATAAGGGCCTCCTCATCCCATATTCTCATGAGGCACTGCAGAGGGATCTTGAAGGAAAGACAAAAAGTAGGGTTATGAGCTTCTGGTGTGCTTGCACCAGACATGGAGACAGACAAAGCACAGGAAGCAGACGATTCCTCACAGGGCAGAAGATTTAGCTCTCCTTTCCTGAACAGAGATCACTTTATTAGCCATAAACAATTTCTTGCATTAGGAATTTGTCTTTTCACATACCCCAGCTTACTCTCCATGAGACACACAGGCACACAGGCAAGGAGAGAGAAGCTTGGGGTTAGAGCGCAGGGTCAACCATTTATACGGCACCCCTGGAACATCTGGGGTTAAAGGCCTTGCTCAGGGGCCCAACGGAGTAGGATTCCTCTGCCGGCTGTGGGATTTGAACCTCCCAGCCACAGGCGCAGAACCTTAGCCACAGAGCCACCGCTCTGCCCAGATGTGGTTTCCAGATGTGCTGTGTTGGTGCAGGTGAATAGCCCAGATGGACAAGATTGTGCTCAGAGGAGTGGTTCTTGAGCTTGGGCAAGAATGGGCCAGAGAAGACACCTCCCTGCTGATTGAAGTAGCACACCACCTTGTGCTTTTGTCCCTCCGGATGAGGATGTGCTCCTTGGGCAGCATGGGGTGGAGGTGGTGTGGTCCCAGTGTTTCTGTGGAGTCAGCACCATGGCAGTGCCCAGGTCTATCTGACCGCCCTCCTGTTCCATACATTGTCCATCGGCAGGACTCCTCTCTGAAGGACTCTGTTTCAAAGCAACACCTGAGGTGAGGTTGCCCGGGTATTAGACCACCTCAGGACATGCAGATCATGATACTTTGAGGTGCTGTGAGCCTCCAGAGAATGAGAGGAACGAGAGTGTGAGAGTCTAGTGGGAGGTCCTGGGACACTGCTTTCATGAGCCCCAGTTGTCGCTGTGAAGGTCAGACAAGGAAGAAGGAGCCCATAGAGAGATACTGTCCCGCCTATGGTGTCGACCTATAGGCTAAAGACAGTGGTAGATTTGTTGTTACAGCCTTTTATAAGTTGAATCTTTTTCCATTAATTCAGACAGGTGTTGCAGCAAGCAGAAGTGAAATCAGTTATTTATACTGTAATGCCTTTAAGACAGCATTGAAACATTTGCATGAAGCAATGACAGGAAACATCAGCTGAA